TCAGAATGTCTAAATCCCTCCAGTATGTACTACAGTTCTAAAAACAAACAACAGTGTTTGTTTATTACTTAAAGAGGTTACAGATCGTTTTTGTTTTAATGTTAGATATTATTACGTTTACAAAGAGTTACAGTTTATTATGTTTATATAGAGATACGCGAATCATTTTAAGTTACAGGTCATTTTCCTTATCTATAATATTACAAGTCATTTGGATTCTCTCGAAGTCTACAAATTGTATCATTTATTCATCGTTTCTAATAGGGACTTTTTTATCTACAGTAACACCCAGTATACTCTAGTGAATGTTACGTGTTTAAAAAAATAAATAAAATTATATATATTTTCATCATCATAAAGATTTGTCTATAACTTTATGCCAATGTGTGGTTTATTACTAAATGCTAAAATGATAAGTACGAATTTATGGTAAAATTATCAGTTTAAACATTTTGTTCGGATATAATATAAGAGTAAACGACATCAATAATGCAAAAAAAAAAAACAGTTTAACAAACAACGATTTTTGTTTTTGTGTGTGATAAAAACACATCAGTTGTAATGCTCAAAACAGAGTAGTAACGTGTATTTTGAACAAAAGGTTTTATTGTGGGGTAACAACAACATAGGTCCCACGATAACTCAGTGGTAAACTTGAGAGCTTAAGATGTTAAAAGTTCAGAGTTTGATCTTTGTGGCGGGCACAGCGCAGATAGCCTGTTATTAAGCTTTACGATTAAAAACAAGAAAGTAAATAAAACTAAACTCAACGTTGTAAAAAATAATTAAAAAAATAGCAGGGGTTGTATAACTAGAGTGTAGGTTGAATGATTAAAGTTTGGATCGTATAATTGAAGTGATTTTTGTATATTTAAGTTACTTGCAGTATTAAAACCCATTTCCCAGTGTTTCAAATTCACGTATGATATTTGATTATTTTAATATGGTAGAAATTTTTAGTTTTATCGTTTTAGGAATTACATTAATGAATCTCTGAACTTTGTCTAGTGAAACAATAAAGATATAAACATGATATACTCTGACTTCTTCCTTAGTCAAGAGGAAAAGTAAAGAAATAAACATAATATATTTTGACGTTTCCATGCTACAAGCAATGCAACTAAGGATTTTGAACTTCATTATAGCATATACGTTTAAAACTTCGAACGTTGTTTAGTGAGTAAACACTATCTAGATATTCAGAAGCAAATTTTACTCAACTTAGACTAGCATGTTTTAAGGTTTGAAAATGTTTAATTAATACCATTGTTTAAGCCTTTCACAATTGGATGGGTCTTTTTTGGTGGGTTTTATTTGCTTGTCATCAAACGCTTTGTTTCATTAGCACTTGAAAGTACAGTATTGACCGTGTGCATATATTTATAAGCATGAAAGTCTTTAATTAAAAGCGTCGTTAAGCTTGTATGCAAATTAGACAGTTTTCTTCCTGTACGTCAGTCTTGACCTTTATAAAAACTTCAGTTTAATTTCTCAGTTTCATGTGCTTTGGCGCTGGTGCATAGCTTACTGGTCTACCTTTCAACTCCCTTACCTTCGTTGGTGTTGTCATAGTGACCCTTTTCGCTAAACAATACCGATCACGTGTTTAACTTCGTTAAAGCCGATTGAATAATCAATGGACAAGTCGGTCAAATAGTACAGGGAATCTATTATACAGTGCTCCGGTCCTAACGCACTATATCTTTTCGACAACAGTTTAAAATTGACTAAAAATATCTTACCTCTACCGCTGTTTTTTCCAAAAACAAAAGAACAACCGAAACGGAAAGTTAAAACACTTTGTTAACGATATAGAAACTTAAAAAAAAAAGTTTAGAAACTAGTTTGACATTGAAAAACTATGGTTTCTGTTCGGAAGACATTTTTCAATATTTCATCCACTTCTACTATCGCAAAACTGATCAGCTGATCGTACTGTGATGTAGATATTTGCTACAAGGGCGTAAATAATAATAATAATACAAAGAAACTTGCAGTTTATCAGAGCAAAAAGAGAGAGAGAGAGAGAGAAAGAAGCGTATTCAATATGAGGTTGCCGTTTGATTCACCAACGATGTGTGTGTTAATTTATTTGTTCCTTTTACATTCAGTGTTAATCAAGCCTAAATGTAAATGTAAATTGAATCACATCTATGGAAAATGTTGCACACACGTAATAAATCGACAAAAAAAAACTCCTAATATATCTTTCAGTTATATGTTCAAACAGCGTGAGTTTGCTGTTGCAATACCCGAGAACGAAGCGACGCCACGACGGCGATATTCTTTGGCACATTTTCACATCTTTATCTGACATATATATAACATTGTTATACAAATATTGTTATTTATTGTCGTAGAACATTCTAAAGAGCGTCGAAACATATAAATCGGGAGCTTTCTTTAGTTCCAAAGCTTAAATATATATGTAAAATTTGTAACATCAATTCTTGAGCTCTGTCTTATGGAAGATTTATTGAAAGTGTAAAATCATTAACTTTGAGATCGGATTATTATTATTTTTTGACGGTATCCTCTTTTTTTAAATTCAATATAATTTTCGCAAGAATTATAAATTTCAAACGTCTAACCGATTGTAAAATGCAGATAACACTACGACATAAAAATAGTTGTGTATTAGTAAATGAATATAACAATTAACTAAAGCCTAGAGCTCAACAAATACTGTAATTATCTGTTCTCCGAAGATTGTTCAACAATTACGCTGTGGTTATGAATGATGTTTCCCAGATATAACTAAAAACTTCTCAAAATTTAACAAATAGCAAATATAAGTTGACCTAGAAATGTCATTTGCGACAACATACATGCATGCAGTTCGTCAGTTTATATATTTCTTGCACACACTAGAACAGACTAGAAAGTGAACTATCCGGTTATTGGAGTAATTTTGATCTTTAAATATGTAAATTGACAACTCTTTTTAAAAATTCTAAAATAAAAAATTAATATACTGAAGATATTTATAGATAACAAATCAGCTGATAGTTCACTTTGAATAAAGAATCAACAGACCAAGGCATGGAAGGAATTCCTCTTTTGACGAGAACATTCTGATAATTCTATATATTACAAATGAATATTGGGTAAAGAATCAACAGACCAAGGCATGGGTGGAATTCCTCTCTTGAGGGGACAGTTTGTCTCTCGCAGGGTCTGATGTTGTTGATGAACTGTGTTGAACATTCTCTTCATCCTCCTGTATTTCTGCACGAGTTGCTGGGATAGAAGATGGTACTACAGGCGTGCTTTCATCATCCTCATCTTCCAGATCCACTACGGGAGAAAGGCTCAATTTCGACTGTACTTCTAGAAAAAGAGAAGAAAGTAATACTGTTTGAAAATTCAAAACAAATTAGGATGACTGCTAAGGTCGACATCTTAAATAGTTTGTTTCAGCGAAAAGCCACACAAGCGTTGTCCACAGTAGGTTTTAATGTCTAAGTCCGCTGATCTACCGGAAGATCTCTTAGATAAAACACTCCCTTATTTACCTTGTTATGATAACTTATACATCTTTAAGATATGTTATTTAATTTGCTGCTTTAAGATAGAGAGTTAAGAGAGTTCACATGAAGATCAATTATGATCATAATATGATACATAATGATTAGAAGTTTTAATCAAATGTAGCTAGAAACGTATTCGGCTGTAAACTGTCCCAGAAAGTAACCACTAATACTGTTTTTCATCAGAGGGCAATTCTCGTGCATGTTCATGAGAAGTGACCGCTATGACGTTATTAAATACAGTTATCATTAACTCATTTTTTGTGAACGTATGTTCCACATAATAAACTAACTCGGCATGTACAATCTGATAATACTATATATTACAAATAAATGGTTAATGAAGAGCTAAAAGGAAAAGGTATGAATGGTTTCAATACCGTAAGGATATTTCCTATTAAAAATAAATGGTTAATGATGAGCTAAAAGGCAAAGGCATGAGTGAAATTCCTGTCTTGGGGAACAATCTGATAATACTATATATTACAAATAAATGGTTAATGATGGGCTAAAAGGCAAACGCATGAGTGGAATTCCAATAAAACAGGAAAGGTTAATTATTAATAAAACCAATTAAAACAGTGCTGTAGAGGGTAGCTATCAGCTATCACTAGAACCACGCACAATAAAACAGGAAAGCTGTAGAGAGTAGCAATCATTGGAACTACATACAATAAAACAGAAGAGGCTAGTTATAATTAGAACTATATAAAATCAAGCAGTAAGGGCTAATTATCCACAAAACCAATTAAAATGAAACAGCAAAGGCTAGTTATCAATATAAATACATAAACAATACAGTGGAAGCTAGTTACTATCGAAATTACATAAGATAAAACAGTAGAGGCATCTATCAACATACGTATAACATGAAAACGCAATAGCTACAAGTATTAATCATATGAACAATAAAGCAGGAAAGGTCAATTATTAATAAAACCAATTAAAACATTGCTGTAGAGGGTAGCTATCACTAGAACTACGTACAATAAAACAGGAAAGGTTAATTATTAATAAAACCAATTAAAACAGTGCTGTAGAGGGTAGCTATCAGCTATCACTAGAACTACGCATATAAAACAGGAAAGGTTAATTATTAATAAAACCGATAAAAACAGTGCTGTAGAGCGTAGCTATCAGCTATCACTAGAACTACGCTTTTTATTGTATGTAATTTCAATGATAGTTAGCCTCTACGGGTTTGTTTTAATTATATTTAATAATAATTAGCCCAGACTACTGTACTGTATGTAGTTCTGTAGATAACTATCCCCTATTGTTTTATTTACTTTATTTTCAAATGTGAGCACTTTCGGTAATAAACAATTCGTATCTCAATATCAGTTTGTGCTTTAAAACAATTATTATATACTGTACTGAATAAGTTAAATAATTGACAACGTATGAAAGTCGCCTTTTGAAGTCCCTAGAAATGGATTAACATTTAAGAATTTTAAATTACACTTAAAGGTACGAGATTTCTCAACAATTCCGAGCAATGAAAATCAGGAGGAGGTGAATGTCGAAGAAGATCAACCTCAGAACAAAGGTATTGGAAAAATGGAGGACCTACTCGACAACCTACCAGCGTTTGCCTTAGAGCCATGTCTACAGGGGTTGACTGTCCAGTGTCGAATTACAAGAGACAAAAAGGGGATGGATAGAGGTCTTTTTCCTACGTATTTTCTGCATCTGGAGAAGGAAGATGGTAAAAAGGTTAAGATTATTATGTAATGTTATGAAAATTTTACGCCGCCCACCAGTTTGCAAGTCGCTGATATTGCAGAAATAACTGACGAATATTTAACATAAGAATGTGTTTACTTAACGTGAAGGTTTAAGAAACAGAGACACAGTTGCTGAGTTTTCTTTTCTTAAAATACAAAACTGTCAATTGAATTTGTTGTGCTGTTTTTTGTTGAATGAATTATATTCACATGGGCCTTAAACTACTTGTGATGTTCAAAATAGTCATTACTAATATGTATAAAATCATCAAAGTTAACAGATGTTGCGAGGACATTTTAATCGATGAATGATTTTTCCCTAACATTTCTTTACCTCTGCATCTGCGTATTTAGGTGTTTCTCCTGGCAGCTCGTAAGAGGAAGAAAAGTGCAACCTCTAATTATCTGATTTCTGTTGATCCGACAGACTTGTCTCGAGGTGGGGATTCTTTCGTTGGCAAACTCAGGTACGGTTGTCCCACTACTCGAAATTTCAATGGTTTCAGCTGGTACAAAATTATTTGTCTTCGCTAAAAACTAAGTATTAGTTAATGTTTTTTCTAAACCAGTTTAATAATTGTCACTGACAAAATAATAATAATATTGTAGGGGCCCCTCAATGGCTCAGCGATAAGTTTGAAGGCCCATAACGCCAAAAACTGTGTTTCGATACCCGTGGTGAACACCTCACAGATAGCCCATTGTGTAGCTTTGATCCTAATAATAGACACACAATATTATAGGGAAACAATTCGCGTCTTGGCGTTAAAGATTACCAGTTATAACTAATCATCTATGAGCATTGTTTAAAAATGAAAACTAGAGGACGATTCCAGTTAATATTTATGAGTATTGTTGCAATGTATACAATAGGTAATACTATTCATAGTGTGGCTTTTGTGTGAGAACTAATAGAGAATAGAAATTAAGATCGAAAGTATGAACATTGTTTTGTTTTGTTGTTAAACGCAAAGGGTTGTCTGTGCTGTGCCAACCACGAATATCGAAACCCGATCTTTAGCGTTAGAAGCCCTAAGACTTACCGCTGAGCCACTGGGGGAGGGCATGAACATTGTTTCATTCTAAAAACTACCGGGATTGTTGGTATATATGTTATTTCAATGTGATAAAAGTATACAATACCATGGTGTGGGTATTGTTTCAACATAAGAGCTAGTTTACAATACCAGCTGCGATTCTCAGTATGGATGTTGTTTCAGTGTGAGAGTTATTTTGTGGATTTTGTTTTTTAATATTTGAACTATCGTGTTTTATCCGGTAAGATTTACAGTAGACTACTGTTTGAAAATGAGAGATTATAGGTTTTTCCATTATAAGTCCGTTCATTCCATTCAACTTACATAAGCATGTAGTTTATTTATCGCTTCTTTTATTTTAATTCTTACTGTTGTTATTGTCGTCATAAATAAGAGACAAATAATACAGCTTATTGCAATGTTTTTGTCAATAATAGATCCATTTTTAAACATAAATTTTTGGCTTATGAAATTAAAACATAAAATTTACTTAACAAACATAAGAATTCTAAGACTTACGCAGAAAATGCATATAAAATAAGCATTTCCTAAAATCTTGAAAAACTTAACACTTTTTTTACGTCTTAACTTGAACATTTTAAAGTTAAAATGTTGTTAAAGTGAATAATAAGTGACAAGTGAACTTGTATTCTGAAATAAATTTTATATTCTTTGTTGATGTAGGTCCAACTTATTGGGAACATCTTTTACTGTGTTCGACAACGGAGCTGGCCCCAAGGGGGGAAATATTATGGGTACCCGAGCAAACACGCGTTGTGAGATCGCTGCTGTAATATATGTAAGTGTTGGCGAATTTTATCAAGATAAAAGAAAGGAATTGTAAGTCTTAAATTCCTAACTTGGCACAAGCTACTCCAACATTTCATGAGTTTAAGTGGGTTTTTCGATAATCTTAATGGTTCTAGCGCCATTTGTAAGTTGTGTATTTGTTATTTTTAGCTTATCTCAACTGTTGGCACCACCTGTCAAGATCACACACACACACACACACATTAGAAGAACAACAAAATAATTTTCTGCTAACCTCACCTAACAATTTTATCTCATAAATTAAAAAGAATTAGCCTGTTGTTTTCCTTAATTTCCAGATGTCGCTTTGGGCAGAAGTGTGTTTGTTTGTTTGTTTTTTAATTATGCACAAAGCTACACAAGGGCTATCTGTGCTCTGCCCACCACGAGTATCGAAACCCGGTTTCTAGCGTTGTATGTCCGCAGGACATACCGCTGTGCCACTGTGGGGGCTTGGGCAGAAGAAGCTCATAGGAACTCAGTCCTATTAGAATAAACAAAAAATAATTATCATTCATTTTTGAAGCTGTGAACAAAATGAAATTTCATTCCTTAAAATATTTGATTTCTGAACCCCCCCAAAAATTAATAGTTTTATTGAAAAGTTACTGTTTTTATTTAACAAAATGCTCGAGTTACTGTAATGTTTATTTCCAAAACTGTCAATTTCGACACAAAGAAACGTAAGTTTCCGTCTATTTTCATACGTGCCAAAGAGTCAGGTTCGTTACGGTCCAATCATCAGTAAATTTAACAATGAGCAAGTTGCTCTGTTTTGCTCATTCTATCCCTGTTTGAGTCTGTTAATCAATAGACTTTCCAGTAGTTTTATAATTAACAGACTTAAACCAGGATTCAATGATCAAAATAATTCAATTCGTTTATTATTAAATCTATAAAATACTAGAGTTATTTACACTTTCATCAGTAAACTTAAACAATAGAAATTCAAAGAACAAGATCGTGTTCTCTGTGGTGATGTACTGCAGTTGTTATGTATGGTGTTTGAAGTGACTTTTTCTCAGTACAAGTATTATATATGTTAACATGTGTATGGAAAGAGCACGAAACTCTAATAATACCAAATAATTATTCTACGTTGTTCGGCAGACATGCCAGTTCAATTATTAAAATTATCCATTACAACCCAAATTATTGATTTTGGCGAGTTAAAGACCGAGGAAGAAGGATCAGTCCCCCAAACTGGTCTCTGTTACATGTGGCAATTTCACGAATAGATTAGATTTTACCTAATATCAGTTACACCTCCCTTCTCTAGTAGACTAAAAAAACGTAAACCCACTTACTAATCTGACTATAGTAAGTTAGGATAAATAGGACTAATTATTGTCACTGGTAAAATAACAATTATTACCGTTCATTCGCTGTTAAGCTAACAAATATAATATGGATTATAACGCCCTCTACAAAAACTGAGCACGTTATATTAAAACAGTTTTGGAGCGACATCACGTCGTTACAGTCCATGTCGCCACGTAAGGTCATGCTATTTCTGACGACTGCGCATCTTAACAATAGCCCCGCAGCGTTGTTTCCATTCAAAAAGACTCCTTCTTAAGGTTGTCGTGTCTAAAGCATACATCTTCTCCATTAAGTCTTTTCATAAGTCATCTAGTTTAAAAGACGACAGTTTCCCAGCGTTCGTTTCAACAATTTTATCACACAGAAATCCCTAGAAAGCCTGACCAGTATGTCTTCGTATGGAATAGCATTGAATACCCGATTCATTCACCAGTTGCTTGAGGTATGCGACGGTGGAACAGATATGTCATAGAAGTAACTTGTGTACACGTGACTTGTGTCGCTTTTCCAGACAGAGATCTTTCTTTTTAATATATTGCGTACTGTTGCCTGGGGGACATGAGCAGCTTTTGCCATTGACCTTTGTGTTCGTGGATTCTCACTTGTTACAAAATTGGCTCCCCATGGTTGGTCTCTTTCCCCAAGTTGGTCCATATTCCTTTGTTTTCCGATGCCATTCAGTGCAAGGAAATTCAAAATCCTCGATCTGAAAACATGTTTATGATCTGAGTATATGAACATTTTGCATCGTCAGAAAGGGCTGTTGTATACCTTTTCCCAACAAAAACCATCAATTTCTGGCGCCATCGCACTACCTATGAACCGCCAAACAATGTCATAATGTAGTTATGAGACATTCTGTTCCACCACAACTTTATAGTGCCTGTGGTTGTCACGCGATTATCTGTTTTGCATATTCAAAATCGTTTTAATATACCGTACTCAACCCTCTGTACTAAACGAAATGCAATAAAACCAATTACTTTTCTCTCCCTGCTGTGCTTACAAAAGTAAGTCTACTTACTAATTCCGTAGAGTTACTTAAGTCATTTTTTTGTAATATTTGAACTTTTCTTTACTAGAGTTTACCAAGCATAATCGTTTTACAAACTTATAAAATACTCGTTCAACTGTTCGAAATAAAACAATTAATACACAATGGTCACTCGTTAGAGGTTTAATATACACTGGTTAACCGAATACACTTGTCGACCGTTAGAGATTTAAGATGTACTGGTCGACCATTAGAGGTTTAGTATACACTGATTGACAGTTTGAGGTTTAATATACACTGGCTGACCGTTAGAGTTTTAGTATACACTGATCAGTTGTTAGACGTTTAATATACAAAGGTAGACCGTTAAGAGTTTTAGTATACATTGATCGAAAGTTTGAGGTTTAGTATACACTGGTCGACCGTTAGAGTTTTAGTATACACTGATCGACAGTTTGAGGTTTAATATACACTGATCAGTTGTTAGAGATTTAGTATACACTGATAGACCGTTAAGGGTTTTAGTATACACTGATCGACAGTTTGAGGTTTAATATACACTGATCAGTTGTTAGACGTTTAATATACATTGGTTAACCGTTAGAGATTTAACATACACCAATCAACAGTTTAAGGTTTAATATACTTTCATCGACCGTTACAACTTTCATAGGACTTTCTAAAGTAAATGTTAACACTTTGTTCATTCTTACAGATGTCTATTCATTGTCCATTGCAACGTTGTTTCAGTTACTGTTTTCTATTAAGATCCATTAAGCTAAACATTTTGTGATTTCTTTAGGAATTTCTCGTAAGTCTCACTATGATTCTTTTAACTATTTCTCGAAAGAAACAAAAAACATCAAGGAATAAATTTGTTTGGAAAGAAGAAATTGGGTTGTTTTCTAAAAGAGATGTGACTTTAGAAAGTATGTCTAATAACATCGGGCAACAATTTGTTACTAGAAAACATACAACTGTTTCTGAGTAATTTCATGGTGCTGATTTTAAAAATCCTGTTGAACTGATCAACTCTAGTTTTCGAGTTATGATAGGTTTATTCAAAATAGTCTTATATGTCGTGCAAATAACTTTTTCTTTAATATCTTTTTTATTCTATGAAAATTGAATTTAAAAATGTTCAAAAACAATACATAACAGCAATAGCAGTTTTAAAAAGGCTTTTAAAAGGTTTTTTAATCGTATATAATACGATTATATACTGATAATACATTCAGGCTATGTTTAAAACTTTCATCATGATATTATTTTTGTTTTTGTTACAAAACATCTGCTTGACTTGTTGCGCCTTTTGTGTATGTTCTCAGTTTCACGCTGTAAGAACCAACAGTAATCTCCCATCAGCACATGATTTTATCGTCCTTGATATTGCTGTTCCATTGTAGAAATATCTTGGTGGAAGCGCTCACCATGCTCATTGCACCTAAATCATTTGGAAAGAGTCTAAATGGAAGTATAAGAAGTGAATCTTTAGTGACAACCTAGATCCCATTTTCATGTACTTAAATCTCTGATTTCCTAAGAAATTTTTGACAATCAGTTTGAACGAATTCCAGGCAGCAAATTATTCCTGATTGAGTATTGTTTCAAAATCATTATCCATCAGCACTTCCAGAACCTGTGGTCCAACAAAGATACCTCCTTTTGTTTTTGCTTCACTGATTTTTGGAACTTGTCAGACAGATAGCTGAAACCAAAAACATCTTTGTTCATTCCTTTTACAAAATTCTTCATGAGTCCTAGTTTAATATGAAGTCGAAGCAGAAACACATTTTGAGGATTCACTAAAGGTTGATACTTGATGTTCTGTTTCCTTTGTATGTAATTCTCTCTCACTGGTCATTCCTTCTTTTTCAAATGATTTGTATCTTCTCGGCTGTCCCGGAGACACAAAATGCAATAATGTTTGATATACCCAATCTGCAGGCTTAGCAGGAGTACAATAACCTTTAGACCACCACATATGTTCTACCTACGGTGATCATATTTGATGGCCTCAAGTATAATCTGCATGCTTTGATAAGTTTCTTTCATGTTTACCTCAATCTATGGTTTAGTGTTCCAATTTTGCAAAAGTACAGTTTTCAGAGTAACTTTAGATGAGTCAATAAAAAATCAGATCATCAAAGTGTTTTAAAATTGTTAACGAGTTATCACGAGAATATAGTGGCCTGGTGTGATGTGGTTGATTTTTCAGATCATCACAGTGTTTTAAAACTTTTGAAGAGTTATGACGAGAATATGGTGGCCTGGTGTGATGTGGTTGATATTTCAGATCATCACTGGGTTTTAACGTTGTTAACGAGTTAAGAAGATTCGATGACGAGAAACACACTTTGAGATTAATAATGCTTGGAGACGGCTTGAATCGGTAATGAAGAAAAACTTTAACTGTCTCAAAGTGGGTGTCTCGTCATCGAATCTTCTTAACTCGTTAACAACGTTAAAATCCAGTGATGATCTGAAATATCAACCACATCACACCAGGCCACCA